GGTCACCGCTGCTCCCTCTGACCTGGGGGCGCGCCGAATCCCCATTTTCCAATGTGATCAACTCCTGGGACCAAATGCAGTGCAGCCTCATTTCTACCAGATCCTCAGTCTCCCATCCTGAGCTTCTGCAGAGCAGGGCGGACCTGCAGGGGCCCGGGACCAGACAGCCTAAGTGACTGCCTGTCCACGGGGCCCTGTGAGTGGGTGGCTGCCAGGTGGTTCACGCACATTCAGGTCCCATGTGCCCGCCAGGAGGTTGTGGGCTGCCTGCCTTGCCATTGGGCTCTTGGGGACTGTGAGTCTTTGCAGGGCTTTCCTCCCTGGGTGAGGGTATAGTCAGACCTTTAGTGTTTCCAGGAGTAAGATTGAGGGTCTGAGTCACTCAGAGGCCAGCGCTCCCAGGGGGGGGAGAAGGACCTAGAACTTGGTGTTGGAAGGAAGGCTGGAGTGAGACACGAGGGAGTAGCAAGGGACAGCCCTTGCGTGTCCCTGCATGTTCCTTGCTACACCTAGGCCTGCGGCTGTGTCTGCTGGCATGGTGGACCCACAGGGCTCTCTCTCCAGAGGATGAGAGGATGGGATCAGGGCTGCTGTTCCCCCGCCCGCAGCCCACCACACACACTCTTGCCTGGAATCACCACCCCAGCACCTGGCTTCCCGGGCTCAGCAGTAAGGGAAGGTGGGTGAGCCAGATGCCTCGGCCGGAGATGGACAGGAGGGCCTGTTGCCTCAGGTCTCTGAAATCTGTTCTGACGGAGCCCTGGGCCTGCAGAAGTGGGGGACACTGAGCCAGCAGGGCTTTGTCCCCCCAAAAAGACCCCTGCAGGCCAGGTCAGTATCCATGGGACCCTAGGGAGGGCCCACACTCATTGGCCTCTTCCCCTTGTCTTAAGTGTCAAGAGACACCTTCAGGACTTGGAATGGAGACTCCATGCAGGGCCATGCCCTTCCAGGTGGACATCACACCTCAGTCACCACCAGGCTCTCCTGCTGTGTGGTGTCCTGTGGTCGCAGTGACAGCCCATGACTCGGGGGAGGTGTGAGCTTGAAACAACACAAATGCATTTTCTTACCAAAGGAGGCCAGGAGCCCGCTATCATACTGGGGCCACACCTACTCTCAGGCTCCTGCCCCCTGCAGCTGCTGGCGGTGCTGGGACCCTTGGTTGCAGAGGAACCCCTGGACCCCCACCCCGTCCTCCCCACCCCTTTGTGCTCTCCGCATCCTCACCTCTTCCTACAAGGAACCATCATTGGATTGAGGGCCTCCCCCCTCCACTCTGACCCCATCTGAACTAGTTGCATCTGCACTTATTTCTAAAGCAGGTCAGGTTCTGAGGGGCCGCACTGGTCCACACTGACTCCCACACTGGTGAGACTACAGGCCACCAGGCTGTGTGCTCCTGAGAGGGGGAGCGCGCCCCTGAGGAGGCAGGGCCTGGCCACAGGAAATCTTTAGGATTCCCACGGCCCAGCACCCAGGAGCCCCATCAAAATGACAGGCCAGTGAGGGCCTCTGCCCCTGTCAGGGAAGCAGCGAGCTCCCCACCTCACAGTGCCCTCCAGCCCGTGACGCTGGCCCCACAACAGGCTGCCGGCTCTGAGCGGTCCCAGCGCTGGACAGGGCTCTGCTGCAGGTCCAGCTGCCCTGGCGTCACAGATCCCAGCAGACACGATGGTGTTAAAAGTATTGGTGATGGGCAAGCCCCACGGGGGGCAGGACAACGCAGGCCATGCAGCCTGCACTGAGGACTGTTCCTGAGATGTGAGTGACAGCTGGTGTATGTGTCC